AGATTACACAGCTCAGTACTCACTACTCAATACTCATGAGTACTTTTAAATAGGCTACTCTTTTACTCTTACTCAAGTAGTTTTTTGGACAAGTACTTTTACTCTACTCACACTACATTTTTTGGAAGGTAATGGTACTTTTACTTGAGTATATTTTTTCATTACTCTTTCCACCACTGCTCATGTGTTCAATAATGTTCAGTAATGAAACATGTGTGCTATCAGGAGACAAGATCACACTTCTCCGGTTTTTCGTCATTTTGTGTTCGGCATTGAGAGGGTTCTCTTGCATAGGAGAGGTGGTAACCGTGATAGAAAATTGTTACAGAGAGAGGCTTTTTGGATTTTTGAATTGAAATCATTAACCCCAACTGGATTAAATGAAGAGATGGATCTTGCATGTTTTTTGTAAAGGGAAATTGTTGGCATGACAATTATCCCTCATTGATTAAGATCAGCTGTCAACAATTTGCAATTGTGCCTATATAAGTGTGTTGCTGCTTTTTTTGCCTTATGAGCACTGAAGAAAGCATGGGCTGAAACGTCTGCTCTTTGGTTTGTTTTTAATACACTTTGCACTTTGTCACTTTTTTCACTTCTTGCATATGGAAAATAAAAACTACATTTTTGAGATACCTTTTTTGGTCTGATTGGAAAATATATTTTCAGTGTGTGGACTAATTCAGCGACTTAATGAAGTAATAATGGATCCATTCTTTGATAAGTTCACGTCAAACTCATTTATTATCAAAGGGGAAGGGAAGCAATACATATGTTGGGTTGTGATCTGGGCCTTACTGATATATGGAGGCAGTCCAATCCTAGGAATAGGTATTACACCTTTTTCTCTCACAAACATAAAATGTATTCAAGGATCGAAGTAGCTAATTGTGTCATAAAGACAATATCTATTACTGACCACGCGCCAGTAGAATTACTTCTAAATTTAACCAGTGATAAAGAGAAACGAGGAAGATGGAGAATGAATACTGCACTATTCTCAGACCCTGTCTTCCGGAATGCTCTAGAGGAGGATTTAAAACTCTTTTCTGAAACAAATTTAGGGAGTACAGAAGACATTTCAACAGTCTGAGAAGCATCTAAGGCATATATAAGAGGAAAGCTCATAGCTCAGGCTGCAAGAAAGAAAAAAGAAAACTTAAATTGGATTAAAGAGTTGGAAAAGCAAATTAAATATAGGGAATTACAACTAATCAATCATTTTTCTGACAATCAGTATCAAAAGCTCTGTAAGTTAAAATATCAATTGCATGAGATTTATAATAAAAAGGTACAATATGCACTGTATAGACTGAAAACAAACTTGTATGAAGCAGGAGAGAAAACAGGGAAATTATTAGCTAGACAACTGAGAGAGAAAAACACCTCCAACACAATACCAGTAATTAAACAGGGAGATTTTTGGGGGCCAAAGACATAAATAAAACGTTTCAGCAATATTATGAAAAATTGTATACTTCTACTACACACAGTAAATTTGTCCAAAATGAGATTAGAGATTTTCTGTCAAATGTCGATGTTCCTAGATCCAGCCTGATCAGGTGGATGAGATGGAATCACCCATATCAATGAGTGAGATCAAAGAAGTAATTTCATCAATGAAAAAAGGAAAATCACCAGGTGCCAACGGCCTGCCTGCTGTGTACTATAAGGAATTTGTAGATTTGTAGATAGCCCCAATACTCAACGAGGTGTATCAAGAAATGTTTAGGAAGCGGCGGGCGCCCCCGACACTTAATAAGGCTCTTATTTCTTTAATTCCTAAGAAAGGTATTTTAGACCTATTAGTTTGTTAAATGTTGATCTGAAAATGTTGACAAACTTTAGCCAATCGTCTACAAAAGATGTTACCAAACATGATTCACCCCAACCAAGTGGGTTTTATACACAGTAGAGCTTCCTCTGACCATGTAAGATTATGGTTTCATTTAATTTGGACATGCCAATCTAAAAATACTCCAATAACAGCTATTTCTCTTGACGCGGAGAAAGCCTTTGACAAAGTGGAGTGGCAATTTTTATTTGCAACCCTGTCACATTTTGGCTTTGGGCAAAATTTTATTTCATGGGTTCAAACAAAGAACCAAAGGCCGCAGTGATCACTAATGGAGTTGTATCCCCCTTTTTTAATCTTTCAAGAGGGACACGTCAGGGGTGTTCATTAAGCCCACTCTTGTTTCTTTTTTTTTTTTAAATACTAGCAATTATCATTCGAGCACACAATGTGATTAGGGGAGTGAAAGCAGGAGATAAACAACATAAGATCTTGCTATATGCAGACGACATTTTAGCAGTCATAACTGATCCTCTTACCTCTTACCTCTTTACCACATCTAATGGATGTTATGCAATTCTTCTCAAAACTGTCAGGATACACAGTCAACTGGAATAAATCTGAAGCTACCCCACTTTCCAATTCATGTTTACCAATTATGGTAGAACAGTTTAAATTCAAATGGGTCTCTAAGGGAATTAAATATTTAGGAATAAAACTGTCCCGCAACAAGGAGGAAATAATAGCATTCAATTTACAAGTTTAAAACAAACCTAGAGAAGTGGGAGAAAATTAAACTTACTCTTTGGGGCAAAATCAGTATTATTAAAATGGTGATAGCCCCCCAACTCAACTATGTATTAATGATGCTTCCGATTAAAATACCAATTTCATTTTTTAAATAATATGACAATTTAATGAAACATTTCATGTGGGATGGGAAAAGGGCAAGAATTAATCTAAACAAGTTAATTGCCCCTAAAGAGGATGGAGGGATGGTTTTCCTGATTGTAGATTATAAAATTTGTCATTTGCTTTGGCAAAGATAGCTAAATATTGGAATCTGGAAAAAATATAAAATTGATTGGATGAATGTCAAATATAAAATATGTTCACCCTTTACCCCCATTGAATTATTTTCTCAATCTGCATGTAATACTACAAACCCTGTTATTGTTCATTCTAGAGATGCTTGGATTAGAATTCACAAAATATTCAAATTATCTCACAATTTACAGAAATATTCTTCATTATGGATTATGGATTAACCCTAACCCGACAATTCGTATTGGTAAAAAAATGATTTATTGGAAGTACTGGCACCAGCAGGGAATTAGCATAATTGACGACTTGAGGATGGGGAATTTAGGTCACTTGAAGATTTAGTTAAATGTTATAATCTTGTAGGAAAAGAAAACTTTTGGAAGTTTCTATGTAATTGTATATTGCCTAAAGTTGGCCATGTGGATAACAACCCTATTTTAAGTTACTTTTAAAAAACACAAGAATCTCGTAAATCCTCACAATTATATAAAACAGTAAACTCTTTCAGAAGCAGTGACTTGGGAAATTTAAGGACAGAGGGATATTGGCGAAGAAATTGATTCAGAAAAATGGTCCAGCATCGTGGCGGGGTGTGGTAAATATATAAAAGAAGCAAGGGGGAAGTTCACTCAATATAATATTCTACACAGATATTATCATACTCTGGTAAGGCTTTACAGAATGAAACTGATGAAAGACAATTTATGCTGGGAATGCCAGTCGGAAACGGATACCTTTTTACATTGTATTTGGGAATGTAGTCTTGTTAAGCCATACTGGAAACAGATTATGGATGTCATAAGTTGCTGGTATGGCTCCGAAATATCTTTAACCCCTAAATTGTGTTTACTAGGTGACAAATCTCAAATGCCTAATGTTTCAAAACATATATTTTCTGTTATTATGGTATGTATTACAATGGCAAGTAGGATTATTAAAGCTTTGTTCTAATTCTATTATATTTATTGTTTATGGGTTTATGTTACAGTACCATAGATCACTAGTGTACACAACATCAAATTCATATGAATTTCATTGACCAAATCGGTCCCACTTTATATTAAGTGTCCCTAATACCTGTGTACTTACATAGTAACTAGATGTGTACGTAGTATGTAACCACAGTGTAAGTACACATTGGTACATAGTATCTAGAGCTGTAATATTTCTGTAACTACAGTGGATAACAACCCTATTTTAAGTTACTTTTAAAAAACACAAGAATCTCGTAAATCCTCACAATTATATAAAACAGTAAACTCTTTCAGAAGCAGTGACTTGGGAAATTTAAGGACAGAGGGATATTGGAGAAGAAATTGATTCAGAAAAATGGTCCAGCATCGTGGCGGGGTGTGGTAAATATATAAAAGAAGCAAGGGGGAAGTTCACTCAATATAATATTCTACACAGATATTATCATACTCTGGTAAGGCTTTACAGAATGAAACTGATGAAAGACAATTTATGCTGGGAATGCCAGTCGGAAACGGATACCTTTTTACATTGTATTTGGGAATGTAGTCTTGTTAAGCCATACTGGAAACAGATTATGGATGTCATAAGTTGCTGGTATGGCTCCGAAATATCTTTAACCCCTAAATTGTGTTTACTAGGTGACAAATCTCAAATGCCTAATGTTTCAAAACATATATTTTCTGTTATTATGGTATGTATTACAATGGCAAGTAGGATTATTTTGAGACACTGGAAGACAGTGAAAGCCCCAGAATCGAAAGAGTGGGCCAATGCAATGGTAGAAATGGCATCTTATGAATCCATGCTTAATTGAATAAATGGTGTTAGAGAAGAAGGGTTATCTTCCTGGGAAGAGTTCTGGACATATATTACAGTAAGGTCTCAAAATGAATAGACAACTATTTTGTGTTCTGTCTTGCACTGTATTGTATTTCATGGTTAAAATGTGCCTGTAGAAATTTGTATCCATGTATAATTATTGTAATGTTGTATTTCTGTTACCCATCAGCCTTCCAAAAAAAGCAATAAAAACTTCAATTAAAAAAAAAAAGGGAAAAAAAGAATATACTTTATAGGTAAACAGATGAAACATGCTGAAAAGAATATGAGATGAGTGCAAATAAAAGTGCAAATAAAAATTGACTTCACTATGTATTTATACAGATACCTGTGTAAACGTGCATGTGCGTGCAATGACCTCTGTGCTGCGGCCGTAGCTGCGGCCTCCATGGCGAACTGTCTCATTGCACTCTCTTCTAAGTACTTCTGTTCCCATCATGTCATATCAGCCTCCAATCCCAGAATCCTTTCCTCTCTCTCCGTTAGCAGATCCAGTAGTGCAGGAGCACTGGACTCACACACACTAAGAGGAACACCTACACCAGCACGCTACACACAGGGAGAAACAGTGGTTATAAATATATATTGGGCTGGATAATTGCTCTCTAACATATAGGTCCGTTGTTGTTGTTGAAAACTCCCTTTCGTGGCAAATATATAATGTCAGTGGATTGAGCATATCTAATTTATTATTACATAAACAGATGTGTTTCTAGGCAGCTGCTAGTTATAGATGGTTACTATGGTGTTTTAAGCATGTTTCAGCACTTAGCTAATCGATATTAGCATGTAGCTATTCACTGTTAACATGGCTAGCAAACTCTTGTCATCATTTATCATTTTTAGTATTTTTATGTGGACAGTTCGATTATATTTTTGTTGTAAATGGGCTTTGCAGTGAAGCCTCTTTATGTTTTGAATTTTATATATATATATATATATATATATACACACACACACCCAAACACACACATATTTATATATATATATATATATATATATACATCTAGTTACTCTACTCTGTTAATTAAAATAGGGCCACTTAATATAAAGTGGGACCATAAAATCTGTTGACAGATGTAAGAGGCTGACAATTAGCTGAACATATACTTGTTTAATTAGTAACACTTAGCCTGCATTTTAAAATCTTTATTTGAATGTAGCAACATTTTTATTTTTAAAACTTTATATATGGCAACATCGTGCTCTACAATATTTCTATGAATAAATCTCTGACAGAGACCCCTCCCCTATCAGCCAATCAATGTGTGCATAGTTAGTAAGCATGCTGACATCATCCATAGCAACAAGGTCAACCCCACCCTTACTCTTAGCTTAAGACTTCTCTCTATTCCTTAGTAAAAGTTTGTCTCAGCAGCTTTGTGAATAGGTTTTAAGAGAAAACTCTTAGCTAAAAACTTTTACTGCTATTTAGGAGAACTCTTAGTGGTAAGATAAAATGTTTTGTAAATAAGGGCCCTGATCTCTTAGATAAGTTTCTCTATATTTCTGTCTTAAAGCAAGACCTTCCAACTCTGACTGAAATTCAATGACGTCAAGGCTGTAATGTGATTGGTTATCAAGGCACACGTGATCCAAGTTGACCGTTACGCTTTCTCACAGACCCTCTCATCTCCCTATAGTAAAACAATCTCTTGCTGCATCCCAATTCGCATACTATCCATCCTATATTATAGTATTCGAAATTAGAATTAGTATGTCCCAAATCGTAGTATGTTGAAATGAGTATTCCAAAGGTACCCGGATGGTTTACTGCTTCCGGTAGAAATTCGAAGTGCAGATCTGTGCACACTCAAATGGTTAATATTGCCCACAACACATTGCGCGGTGGATGAGGATTCGATTAGAACTACAAACTACAAAAAACTACAAACATGGCAGATATGCGAGACCGACGGACAGGTAGAGAAAGGAGTTTGAGTGATAAATAATCAATATCTAACCTGTTGAAAAAATATTTATTTAATGTTATCCACGTTGGATTTCCGGTTATGGCGTGGTGCTGAGTGGTTGCGAATCGGAGCTCCGCAACAAATACTGACTTAAATGTTCTTCTTTAATTCAACAAACGTTGACAGACTGATTCCATTTTAAATTCAGATGCATCTTAACGTTCCAAGTTGCCACCAAAACCAATGAAAATGACACAGAAACAAGTCAAATCGACCATGAAGAGGCCGAGGCAGATGCTAAATCCAATGAAGCCAATAGCGAAGAGGCAGCGTCAGGTGTTAGCCAAGAGTCTGCAATCCTTGAGGCTATCCATTCACTGAAATCGGACTTTGCTGTGCGATTTGATGGATTGCTCCAGGCGATCAATGGAGTGCAGAGCGATCTTAAAGCTCTCACAAGATTTGATGGATTGCTCCAGGCGATCAATGGAGTGCAGAGCGATCTTAAAGCTCTCACAACACGGGTAACAGAAGCCGAGGATCGAATAGGCACTCAAGAAGATAACGTCTCAGAGTTGCAAACGCAGAACGCAAAATTGAAAACTGCCATAGAATCTCGCTCATTAAAAGTCGATGATCTGGAAAATCGCAGTCGTCGGTCCAATCTACAAAAAAATCGAGGGAAAGAATATGTGTGCATTTTTAGAGAAATTACTCCTTGAGATCCTCGGCCCGGAAAACTTTCCTGGTCCTCTTGTAATTGAGAGAGCTCACCGAATCGGCAGATTCTCCAAAATCATTCTGACTCTCCACCGAGAGCCGTGATAATGAAATTCTTAAACTACGCTGACAAAGTCCGTACTCTGAAAGCAGCTCGAGCAAAAGGCACAGTGATGCTGGACAAAAGAAAGCTTATGTTCTTTTCTGACATGTCAGCTGAACTGCACAAGAAAGGGAAATGATTTGACGCAGTGAAAAAGGATCTTTGCGATCTCAACATCCCCGAAGTGCGTTATGGCATCTTGCATCCAGCTACTTTGTGCGTGACATACAAGGGAAAGCGCCACTTGTTTGACAACCCTCCGGACGCTCAGAGGTTTTTGCAAGACTTAAAGGAAGACATTTCTCTTTGGGGTCAGTTTCATGAACGTAAGCAAACTTCTGGTTTATTACTGATAAGCTATATGCTAAAAATATTTTTTTTTTTTCGTGATGTTGGTTTGACATTTCTGACTGTTGCGGGACCCGTCCAGCCATCAGATAAGCTGTTCCTCACCGTGAAATATCGCGGGTGGCCGGCATAGTTCCATAGTGAGGCTCTTTTGAGAAGACCTTGGGAAGTGTTTAACTGGGGAGGGGAGGAGGGGTGATTGTGTTTCATTTGGGGAAATACCTGTTTGTTGGCCAGTTTTTCTGTTTGGCTATATTTTGCTTTCACTATGTGTTATTGTGTTTGTTTGTTTGTTTGTTTTTTGTTTTTATTTTCTTCTTCACAATAATAGTCTATATACTTACTTTAGTACTTTTTGCAAGAACGGGAATTAGGGGTGCGCCGATCCGATATTCAGTATCGGTGTCGCTCCGATACTGACATTTTCTGCCGGATCGGGGTATCGGTCAGACGAGACCGATCTAAATCCGATATAGTGCGTATACTATTCTGTGTTATTATTAAGCCCCACGAAAGCCACATAAACATTATAAAGCACAATACATTTTCGTGCACTACATTTTAAGTGTTCTGAAGCCATTTCACAGTTTAATGTGAGGTACAGGTGAATATTTAAGTCAAGTTCTCTAAACTCTTCTCTCCACTGCGGCTGTCTGTCATCCTCCATTCAGTGTTCAAACTGCGTGTCGCATTCGGTTATGACAGTCAAGACGATGAAACTCTCTCCAAGATGATTAAATGTTCCTAATGTTATACTTGATCTGTGAATAAAGATAAATGGTTTCGCATAAAAGGAATTTATCTTGCTGGAGTTTTGTGCTGTTTCTAAATCGTGTAAATTTCTACCGGATATCTGGTTAGATCACCAGAGAGCACTATGAATTGTTCGTCACGAGCACAGTAACTGAAATGTAAAACTGTTAAAGGCCCAATAAACTAACGCACATATTTAATACACTACGCATCAATATCTCATAACTTTGTGCTTTGAACTTCTCTATGCGGAGCGCTGCGCTCTGTGACTCTGTGTTGCTTCAAGCGCGTCATTCTGCGCACGGGCTGCGCATAAGCGCTTTGTGCCGCTCTGTATTTGGAGCCTTTAGTATTGTAATACTTTTGCGCAATGAAAGATTATTAATAGCCTTTCTTGTTCGTCTTATCTAACAAATTTACTGCCTCATTACTCTGCTATACATTTAAAATAAATGTCTTTTAATTTATACAGTAGTCAACATTTGAAGTGGATCGAAAAAGTTAATCAAAGTTGTCCTAAGACAAGAACAGGTATTGTTTTGGTTTTAGGACCATTTTGATGAAAGGTTTTGATCCACTTCAAATGTTGACTACTATAGTATATATTTATATATGAATATATTACTTGTTTTTCATGAATGTATTTTACAACAATACAAAGAGCAATGTGTAGGCCAACCAAATTTAGTCCTACACTTATTCACTTTTCGGTTTTGTGATTGTAGCTCCGTTTTTCTGTTGAATCTCTATCACTCTCTGTTGTTTAAAGTGATAAAATATAACTTAATTCCCACCTTCTTTCTGATATTATATATCAAACTAATCTGATTAATTTGATTGTTCACTTTTATTCTAAAACCGCGAGTGCAGTGCGTTAGCATTCGTTAGCCGGTTAGCTTGTCATTCGCGTTTCCATTCGCGTCTATTGATGTTTTCTTTTTTTTTCTCTCGCTCCGTTTCTTTTTTCTCTCTCTCCGTTTTTTCATGAGTTCATCAAACAACAGTGGTAAGTCACAATCATCAGAGTCTGATGGTAGTTGCGGGTCAAAACACCGCTCTTCCGTTCCGATCAAAACATCAAACAGGTTCTCCCCACTCAGTGACGCACCCACTGAGAAACCTGATCAAAGTGCTCTAGTTATTGGCGATTCTATTGTACGGAACGTGAAAATAGAGACACCAGCCACCATAGACCAA